TTATATAATACTATATATATTTATATATTCCTGTACACTGCGAGTTTCAGTTTTGCCAGGATGCTTACTACAAATGAACAGGCTGATTTACTGGAACAATCTAAACAGCTGGGTTGAACCCCTGGATGCCTACACCCAGGCTACGGTATAATTTGCTGGACTACAATTCCATGGCAACTGTTATTCTGTGGACTGCCAGTGCATACTGGTCATTTTGCTGCAGCTCCAGTGGACAGTTAGAAATATCTTTATGGAATTTGACATGAAAATGAACACCACAACCAGTAGTATCACTGATAATCTTCATTTATGTATTCAATGCATTTCATTTTTGTAGGGAGACAACAGGTTACCTACTAGTAAAAGTGAAAGAAAGAAAAGTGAGAAGTTTTGTTAGTAGACAAGAAAAGTTGAGCCAATATGAATAGCTCACCACCAACAACATGAGGCAGGACACTCTACCCATCTATGTTCTTCCTCATAACTCCCATTGCTACCCCTGGCATAGTACAGATGCTTATTGCTGCTGATGTTCATCGACCCCTCAAGTCACTAACCCAGCAAAAATGACAGCCCAGCAGGGAAGAGATGGCTTTCCATTGGGTTGGTGAGCTGAACTGGCTCATTAAAGGGCCCTGCGAGTACCAAAGCCCACACAGGAAAGGATGCATGTAGACAGCGGAGCCTTGAAACAAAGCAGAGGAATGAGATCTCCCCCTTTTGGTGAGCTGTTAGATAGGCTTTACGGGCTGTTAAAATACTTCAAAGGCAACTGAGACTTTTGATACTAAGAAAGGCGTAAAAGACATTTTGGGATTGTAGGAATAGGTACATTAGGTAAATACGTGTGGTAACATATCAGCAGTCAGAAAGGTGGTGTTTAAACTGGCTTCATTAAGTTTCAGTGCAAACAGTTTGATTAAACTGGAGTTTATCACACATTTAGAAACAGTAATTTCAGTTATTTGCAAACTAGCGAAGCCTCATTTATGCTCTCTTCATATTTACAAGCTTTTCTTTAACCGTAATTTGCTGTAAAAGTAACTTTAAAAAACAATTATTCTGTGCCAAAGCTTAGTTTTCTGCAAGAGGTGGTTTCTGTGTAGATGCCATGAAATAAAGCAGATCCTCAGCTTTCATTCTAGCGCTTGCAGGCACTGTTTACAGAATGGTGGGTCCCAGTAGTTTGAAGCAGCTATATCAGTTTGTCAGAGTCACAATCAGCTCTCTTCTGCTAGTTGCTTAGCTCTCCTGTTCTGAGATATACTATGCCTCTGGCCTCCAGCCAGTCTACACGTGACTGTTTGAGTGTACCGTGCAAAACAGCAGATCTGGATTCTGGCAAAAAACCCAATTAAATTAATATAAAATTGTATTTAAGTCCTATAATGTGCGTTATAAAAAATTAAGTTATTTGCTTATCCTCCCAATACCTCCCTGGAGGCTAATGTTAGTATCTCCCTTTTTACATATGGAGAAACTGAAGCATGGAAGGCTTAAATGACTTACCCTAAGTCAGCCAGCAAGTGAAGAATACTGTATCACTTGTCTTTCTAAACCTATTATAAACATTTTGATTATTTGGGGAGGTTAAGTGTATAGGTGAAAATACAAATATTATTTAGATTGTTTTAAAATATGCCTGCCCACAGCTTTTGAAACTAATGTGCTTTTTATTCATATGTACCTAGATTTTTATTAAGATAAAGCTAACAAATACTTAGGATTGGTTTCAGTCACTGAAACATATAATCTGTCTAATTTTAAACATTATTCAGAGGATGCTTTTGTGCTATATATCAGAGCAACCTCTCTATGTCATTGGAAATTGCTAATTACTTTTATATTCAATATCTGTAGGCAAAATCCTTGTCAGCAGTGAAATGGGAATCAGTCGCTCAGCTGTGCTGGTGGCTGCTTACCTGATGATCTACCACCATATGACCATTCTGGAGGCTCTAATGACTCTGAGAAAGAAGCGTGCCATTTACCCCAACGATGGCTTTCTGAAACAGCTAAGAGAGCTCAACGAGCAATTGTTGGAAGAACGAGAGTTGGAGGATACTGGTGATGAAGAAGCCACTCCTAGTCAAAGTCCTGTTGTCCATGCAGGCACTTCTTCCCGGCTGTCTGGAGTTGGGGACTCAGAAAGCATTATGGGAGCCAAAGCCCACTCCATCACAGTAGAAGAAGAGGACACCAGCAGCCTGCTGGGTAGCCTTATGAGCTCTTCATCAGTGGAAAAAACTAGCTGCATTTCCAGACACTCCACCCTCATCAGTGAAGAGGAAGAGGAACAGTTGTATGAGGAATGGAGGAAGAAACAAGGCCTGCCTCCAAATGAACCAGGAGTTAACCATGGAAGAAGAACATCTCCAAAGCTTCTGGATCAAGAAGGGGAACAATCTGAGGAGGATGTGGAACAGAGGATCCATGACTGGCAGTGCAGAAATGAGAAATACCAACTGGAGGGTCCACCCAGGGAGGAAGATGGAGATTCCAGCATGGGAGGAAGACCCTACCCATCAGGTGAATTCAGTGATGTTGAGAGTGTGAGCAGTTTCGAGATCCGAACCCTAAAACAACAGCTGGAAGCCAGTAGTTTTAGCAGGATGAGGAGGAGCCGCACAGGCTCTGTGTCTTCAGAGAGCACTTGGGACATGTGGAACCAGAGGCTTCTGGAGATTGAGAAGGAAGCTGCTCAGAGGTATCATTCTAAGAATAAAAATTGTGCGGAGAGACGGTCCCCAGAAACAGGAAGAAAGGAGAGGGATGTGGATGAGGAGAGCGTGTTTTCAGACAGTAGCTCCTTTTACAATTTCTGCCAAAAGAACAAAGACAAGTTGACTCCTCTAGAAAGGTGGAAGGTCAAGAGGATCCAGTTTGGCTTTCACAAGAAGGACTTAGAACCATCATCGTCTTCTGCATCATCTCCAGCAGAAGATGGCAGCCAGGCAGGTGGGGAGGGTACAGAAGGGAAGAGTTTATCAGATATTAACCTGGCTGCTTACCAGGCTTGGAAAATGAAGCGGCAGAAGAAGATGGGCAGTGAAAGCAAGGAGGAATTTGTGGAGTTTGCCAAAAGTGAGGATTCTGCTTCAGCTAAAAAGAAGCAGAGGCGTGTAGAGCTCCTTGAACGTTCGAAGAAAATTTTAGAAGAAAGCCAGTCCATGTGCAGCTGGGAGACAGACAGTACGATGAGTGGGAGTATCCCACTGTCAGCTTTCTGGCCCTCAGCGCCTTCGGCAAGTGGTGCTGAGGATGCAGCTTCTGCACTGAGCATGCAGACAAATCATTCATCTTTGTCGCAGCCCAGGAGCAGCATGGGGGCAATGCAGCCTCAAATGCCAAGTATACCCCTTCCCAATCTCCCAGTTGGCCCAGGTGACACAATATCCATGGCAAGCATTCAGAACTGGATCGCTAATGTGGTCAGTGAAACCATTGCTCAAAAGCAAAATGAGATCATGATGTTGTCCCGCCCATCATCTGCAATGGCCTCCAGCATAATGTCAGGAGACCTTGGCAGGCGTGTAGATGATGATAAGGTTTCTCTTCTCAGTGCTCTGAGTGGCTCATCTCTTGCTACCTCCCAGCTTCACCAGCAGGACATGCACAGGACTGAATCTCGGTCTGTCCTGTCTTGCAATACCTCAGAGAGCACAAGGACAGAAGGGCCTAGTTCAAACGTGAAGACGACACAGACAAGCAAGCCACTGTACAGCCTCTTTGCTGATGATGTTGACCTAAAGAAAATCAGGAGGAAGGAGAAGGAGATGCAAATGGAAATGAGAGAGAAAATGTCAGATTATCAAGTTGAAAAGGTGATCAGAGACAATAAACGCAGCACTTTATTTAAAAAAAAGATGACCAAAGGAGAGGAAAATGAAATAGAAGATGACAGAGAGAGTACAACAAACAGCCACAGGCGCCCCTTGCAAGCAGATCTTGACAGAACTGATACAGTCTTTGATCCATCTAGTCAACCTGCAAACACAGGTGCACCAAAGTCAGGGACAGAGACTGATATTACCAAGTGGCTCAGTGGCCTGAAAGCAGAAAGAGAACCACCGTCATACTATGATCAAAGTGAGAAGGCTAGAGAGAAATATAGCAGATCATCCAAAGTCAGAGAGATGGATTCTGAAACATCCACTTACAGATTCTCCAGATCCCAAAGAGAAGAGCTAGACAGCTCTTCTTCCTACGAGTCAAAGGGAGATTCACTGAGAACCATGTCAAGATTTTCCTCTGCTTCTGCACAAGAGGACAAAAAGATGTATAAGTTCACAAGGTCAAGGGTCAGTGAGACAACAAATTCCAGAGAAAAGAGCCCAGAGCTGCATGTTTTCAGCCGAACACCTGAACCATCCTTTGACTCTGAATCCCCTGAACCATCTACACAGAGCCGAGTTAGATCTCATCATGTGGAGGCGTGTGAAGAGGAGGCTAGGTCAGACATGTCAGAATTTGGAGCTAAGAGAAAGTTCACTCAGAGCTTTTCAAAGTCTGAAGAGGATGGAAAGAAGGAGGCAAAAGTGGAACAAAGTGAAGAAAGATTTGCATCTAGACAGTTCTCTCAGTACAGGCGAAGCATGCGTAAAGAAGAGGAAGAAGAGATGGATGATGATGCCATTATCGCTGCTTGGAGAAGCCGTCTAGAAGAAACTACGGCAAAGCTCCGGCGGAGAAGGGAAGAGTGACCAAGATCAGATTATAGGAACACAAGCAGAGCCACGGAGTCCCTGAATCACTCATCATTATATTTCTGATAATCCTTTGTGGTTTGTAGGGCATTTCCTGCAGATAGTTCTCTTCTTAATCAAAAGCGATAAAGGGAAGAGGTCAAGTTTTGGAAGTGTTTGTGGTTTGTCAGAAAGAAGATGCTAGTATTAAATGATCAATGTAGGTAGGAACACAATGTTAGAAGCCTTTAGGAGCCAGACGATGTTTCAGCAGCAAAAGCAAGTAATGGTGGCACCTCAGTTGAAAAGACCAATCACATCCCATTTTGGTTATTTCAATTTCCTAGTCTCATTAAAGACTGGACATATTTTTTTCTAGGATCTTTTTGATCATAAATGGAAGAAGCCAACAGCCTTTCCTAGGAACCTGAAGAATGTTCCTCTCTTAATCAGTTTTACTTTATACCACTGAGAAGATATTGCCAGGTAGGCTCCATTTTCTGCACCAGTCTTATGAATGTCAACAGAAATAAGACAGTTCAAGGGAATATATCTATTGTTTTACTTCACTAAGTAGCAGAAGCAAAGTGAAATACTAGAAAAAAGCAGATGCCTCCTTCTTTTTAGAAGTTCAATGCGGTAATGAATGTATTCCTGTGGTACCATTGTTTTCTATTAGATGGAGTCATCTCTGCTCCAGTATGGTTGGTTCCTGGTAATAACTTTGGGCCAACAAAGGAAAAATGCAGTAATATTAACAGCTGTCTAAAGATTATGTTCTGATGTAGTTAAAGAGATAGAGTTAGGGTTAGGATTAGTGTTAGGTTAGGCTGGGTTTCTGAAGTATGGACTTCAGTTTGTTTTATGTATGCAGCTCAGCTAAATCTGTGCTTTTATGTCTATAGTCAAGATTGTCATGTATTAATTTTCAACATGATTGCCTTAAAAGAAAAGAGTGATACACAAACTGACCTCATAATAAAATAATGTATAACTAAAGTGTTGGTATAAGGCACCATGCACCTAAGGACAAATTGTATGTCTGTTGAATGTGGTACTTGGAAGCTCGTTTTTGGGAGATGGTAGGTTCAGTTGGTGTGTTACAGTTAACGTGGTGTTTGTACCAAGAGCTACAGAGCCCACTTTTCAGAGGGAGTGGAAGGAGCACAGTCTCCACGTTAACCAAGTACACCAGGTTAAGAGCCTCGGGGTCTTTCCATGCCCTGTAGAGCCTTGTGAGCTTGTGTGACACGACCTGCCAGGCTTGCCCCAGCATCACTTGTGTGGCTGATATGACGCTGTGTCTTTGACGCATCAAAGGACCCAACTCTTTGTCACCAATCAACATCCTCCACCTCTCTCATAAACACCTAGGCCAGTTTCTCCTGATTTCTACTCTGGAATTTTCTGTCCCCTCTTCTGTACAGACTGTATTTTGAAACAACAAAACCCTCTGGCAGAGCTGAGTATAAAACAACAATGGAGGGATGATGCACTATTGATCTCTCACAGGAAGTTTTGCCTTTCTTTTTCTTGTCACCTCTTCTCCCTCCCACTGTGATGCTTAGAGGTCACTTTTACTATTATGCTAGTACCTCTCCCTATTTTAATTGTGTAATATAGACAGTAAACTCCACAGGGCAAGGGCCTGGTCTTTGTCCTTGTCTGTATGATGCCACGCACATCCGCAATGCTATCTAAATAATGGTTACTGATAACAAAATGCAGCTGCCAATTTTCCTAAACTTAGAATCATTTCTCTCAACTATAACTCACTGATTAGACATTATCCCTGCATCTCTGAAGATAAAGATGACTCTTACTGGCAGCCAGGCCTAGGGTAAATGATAGCTACTTATTGTCAGGTGAATGGAGTCTTAAAATCAGGTGATTGAACAATAACAGGGGTAGAAAAATAAGAGAAAGAACATATTTTACTTGTGTGCGATTTGGGGGTTTTTTTTGAGTAAACTCAGATTACATTTTTGAAGTGCACAAGGAACAGGGTGTTGTTAATGTTTCAGGCATCCAGAGATGCTATAAGGCTTATAATGCACTTCCACTACAATACAATATATAATACAATGCATCCCTTGTTTCTGCATACTTCTGTGACTTGTATTTTTTTACAGTAGTGGAATTCCAGGCTTTGATCCACATTCTGAGATTGAATTTCTGCAATGTGTGTTAGGATAGGGATTTTCCTCTTCATCCCTGGTAAAGTTACTCTGTGGAAAACAACTCTGCATATGCATATTTGGAGCTTGCTTTAATTTCAGTCTAGAAAAGGTCTTAAGTTTCGATGGATCAGAGTGGAAGTGTGCAATACCTTGTGGCACTGAATTTACTTTTTTATCAACGGCTGGCTCCCTCTGAAAAATCTCTCCCCACTTTCCTATGCCGGGCTGCTGTTCGCAAGAGAAACGTCGTCCGTCCCCTGCAGTACTGTAGGGGGCATCTTACACTGCAAAAGATGAGCGTTATATGATGCAGTAATTGGTTTCATTTTGCACTGTACAGCACAGCCTTTGTTTGGGTAGCAGTTTGATTTAAACACTAATCTAGGTCTGCCGCACAAATAAATTATTCAAGACCGAGGGGCAGAATATGGTTCTATAACAAGCCCGAGCCAAACCATCCTGATAGCGAGTTTTGACCCTTCTGGGAAAGGGTTAAGTGGGTTCTGCTGACTCACTGAGGTGGGTGGCTTATTAGTTCACTTGTGTAAAAAGGAGATAAAAATGGTTTGCTGGGGAGAGGCCATCCAAGATGCTGGCTGAGCAGTCATGAGGGAGAAGCCTTAGAAATAGCTGAACTTTATTTTCTTATTGCTTATATCCTTGTTAATAAAGCCAAACCCCCAAAGCAATAAGGGGGTGGGGATCATTTTGGACTCCATTCAGTGCATGGCCTGTGCTTGAAAACGAGATGGGAAAGGCTCCAGCTCACAGGTATAAATTACATGAAACAGTGACATAAAGACCTTGCATGGTGAAAATATTAAAGCATTCAGTCATAAGACCAATAACCAGGAGAGACAGAAATGGAGAGGTTGAAGGCAGGCTAGAAAGTCAGGTTTTAAGATGAGGATTTAGAAGGAGATAAGGGAATCGGTGAAAGGGGAGAGGTCTGCACAGATTGTTTCAGGTGACCAGAGCTGCAGAGGGAATGGTTTTTCAGCAATGATACTGGTCTGACACTAGATTAAAATAGTAGGTAAGTACCCAAATTTATCTAGGAAGGATTTTTCAGCAAAGATGTGCTGGGACTGATATTTTTGCTCAGCCTCAGTGTGCTGCTGTAGGCAGGAGGGGGTTTTTTGGCATTGTATATGGAACGTGAAAGTGCAAGGAGCATCCATACAGTCAGTTAAGAATATAAACATAGGAACATCAGAAAGGCTGTATGGGGTCAGACCAAAGGTCCATCTGGCTCAATATCCTGTCTCTGACCGAGAACAACAGTGAATACCTAGGGAAGAATATAAGAGCAGTGATATAAGTGATATTTCCCCAGCATGATCTTCCAGCTTCTAATCATTTGCAACTCAAGGACTTCCTGAGCCAGATGTGATATTTTTGTATGTAATAGCCCTTGACAGATTTTCCTTCTATGGAGGTACCCAGCCGTTATAGCCTTGTACCTGCTAGCCTCTGTGATCTCTTGTGGCAAGAAGTCCCACAGCTTACTCTACACTGAATGCTAAGCCATCTCCTTTTTGTCTGTTCTGAACCTGCTGACCACTAGCCTCCTTTAATGCCAAGATAATCTCTAGTTAGTATCTACATGCCCCACAACATTTTATCCCCCTTTATCATTATGCCCTGTCCTTAGCTCTCTGTTTTTCATCCCGAGTTACTCATTCCTCGTATGGGAGCTGCTCCATGTCTCTGATTATCCTGGCCATTCTTCTCCGAACCCTTTCCAGTTCTACTTTGCCACGTTTGAGGTGAGGAACCAAATGCTCACACAGTATTCAGGGTGCAGATGTGGCAGGGATTTATCCTGTGGATAACGACCACCTTTTTTCCATTCTCTGTTTCTTCCCTATTAACTCCGAACAGTCTGTGTGCTTTTTTGGCTGTTGCTGAGCACCAAGGTGATATTTTCATGGAACTATTAATTATATTCACATAATCTTGTTGCTGGATGGCAAGGGTCAGCTCCAAGATCATAATTTTGTATGTTAAGTTTTCTTGGGTGTAATGCTTTACATTTATTAGCCTTGAATTTCATCGCCATCTTAGTGCTCAGTCTCTCAATCTCATTAAGTCCTTCTGCGTTATTTCACAGCGAGCCTCTCATATCTACTACTCTGTTTCCTTAGTGTCCTTTGAACAATGTAGAAACAGAGAAACATGTGGGAAGCAAAGAAGTTAAGGAGGGATACATGAGAAAGAAACCTATTTGATGTTGGTCTGAGTGAAGTAAGAAGTAAGGATGTGATGAAAGCTGGAGAGCTAGGAGATAAGAAGTGTTCAAAAAGAGATCTGAAGACAATAGGCAAATTAAGAAGGGCACCTACACTGGATGGAGACAGTAAGATATGTATGTAAGCCAAAGAGGCTAATGCGAAATATTCAGTTGTTTAGATGTATCACAATCTGGGGAAAGGTTATGGGGCAACTGCTGTGGGAAGGAAGGAGATGGTGGGATTTACAGAAATTACAGGTTTGTGAGGAACGTGAAGGGGGCTGTGAGAAATGGAAAGGGTGAGAGACATTAGTGGGACATGGATGATAAAATGACATCTCTGATAGACTGGGGATTCAGCGTGGCAGAAGGAAGTTTGGAAGGAAGCAGAAATGTGCCAGAAATAGGTTATTCCTAGTGTAACAGCTGCATTCTGCATCATAATACTGATAGGTGTGGGGCCATGGCCCATTTCCCCCCATCTAGGATTTTCAGGGCAATTTGATTTATTGCATGCGGCACTAGTTTAGACTGGATAATTTTAAAAGGAGCTTAGCACCATTTCCTTCTTTTACAGCTCCTTGAGAAATGCTTACGCGTTAGCT